AATAAACTTATTAGCAATGATGTTTTGCGTATCATTTCTCACAAATTTAAGGTCTGGAGTCCTATTTTCAAAGAATTCATGACACTTTAAACATATGGGTTGCTTATACAATTTACTCTATGATAACTTGAACTAAGTATGTGGGAAGGTTTACTGTTCCGTACTTATCTTTGTGCCTGATTCATAACTGTATTTTCAAGTTATTATGTGTTAATGCTCATATTTCATAATAAAAGTGAGGGTGCAATGCATTTTTTTTATGTTCTTTGGTTATAGTATTATCATTGTCATTTTGTGACAAAAAGGGAGAGTATGTTCGATATGTTTTTGTTAGATATGTTTTTGATGGAGTAGATATTTTGCTTTTAAATGGATGTATATATATCCACTTGATGTATCTAAATTTTTTTGAGGTTGATTATATAATATATTCAGTTATGCTAAATTAAGTTTGATGTTTTAGTAGTATCAATGTATCTTCTTGGTATGTTAGATTGCATTGGTACTATGTGTTGATTTAGCACGCATGATTGAAACTGAATAATACCATATGTTTCATAGATTGCCTATATTCTATAAACTGCTTTACTTATACCGTTTTTCACACATTTTACACTGGGTGTTGAGTTGTCTATTTCAGGAAACAGGTACTCATTAAAATGCACAATTCGTTCAAGTCAGTTAGTCGTGCCATAGGTGTTTGAGTCAATATTTCATATTTGATTACTGCATTGACTTTAGTAGTTTTGTCACAAAATGTTAAAGGAAGAGTTTGTTAGGTTTTAATTATGTTATTAGCAATTCTGTAAACAAAAGGTACTTAATTGTAAATGATGTAAAAAGTTAAGGAGTAATGTACAATTATATAAAAATAAATTTATTAGGTCTAGGGTTCGAGTATGGCAAAAGAAGGAAAATACGGAGCAGATTTTCCCTTGACTGTCGCCATGGATTGGCTCGAGCATAAAAAAAAACCTCGAACGCTCGACTGTCACCGTGCATTAGCTCGAGCTATAGCCTGTCGCTCGATTGTCGCTGAGCTTTCGCTCGAGCGACAGGGTTGTTCGGAAAATTTTTATTTCGCGATTTAAAGACTTTTTCCCTGGCCCATTACTTTTCTAACCTATATATAAATACCAAAACACGTCTGAACATAAAAATTAAGGTTGATCATTGAGATAGCTTCATCAAAGAGTATTCCTACATATTCCTACTTTCAACATTCATCTTGTGAGTTTGTTTTGATGAGAAAAACATCAATTTCATAATCCAAATACCAAACTGTTCTTTCCACCACATTTCTCAGAGTTGCTGAACATCGAGGGAACTTGACTAGAGTTTCAGTCGTTGAAGAATGCGGTGTTTTTTGTG